CTTGGGAGACTTCTAGATCTAAACCATAACAGTGCACAATCTTCTCAAGGAAGAAGCTAGGCTGTGCAAAGAAAGATGCTTTGGGCTTTGGATATCCCCAGCATGAACATGGATAAATTTATAAATCACAGATAGTCCCTGACTGAACAATGATTCCATATATGATTTTCCAACTTTATGATAGTCCAAAACCATTCCATAGAACCCATGTGTTGACTTGTGAGTCTGGGTCTTTTCCCAGGGTAGGCTGTGCAGTCCTACCCTATCAGGTGATTGATGCTGGGCAGGACAGCAAAGTAACAACAGTGCCTCGTCAGCCTGTGCCCACAAAGTGGGGTGGGATTGGGGGTCATGAGATACTTGACACAGCAGACTCTGCAGCATGCTGTGTTGCTGAGCTGTGATGCTGGCTAGGTTAGATATTTTCGTTGCATTTGTGACTTATGATGCTTTCAACTTACTGACCCATTGCAAGTAGAGGAGCATCTGTGTGTACAAGAAGCTGTGCCACCAGCTCATGACTTAAGGCAAAGCTATCACCAAACGAGGAGTTCACCACTGTGACATGCATGGAAATCCACCTGTTGAGGGGTATCGTATTAGGATTGAGATCACATCTGATTGTGGTAACAGGTCTGACACAGGATTTAACTGGAAGTGGGGTGGTCTGTTCTTTCCTTTTCTTGTCACTTGTTTGCACACTCATGATTAGAGTTATCTCCTTCCATGGTTTCTTTGCAGTGACTCTTTGAATTCATTTATCCCCGCTAAGGTGACTGGTTCAGTAAAAGCTGTTGTTTGAGCCTCAAATCCCCAGCCGAGTGCCTATGTACAGTACAGTAGATGGCAGTAGTTTGTAGAGAAAAGGGCAACACACACTTGGGGCTCCACGGTAGCCTGTGGGGACCCCACCTTACAGGATGAGGAGGCACAGCAGTTTTGTACTGTTAACTGTTTGTAGTTTTTTATTTTATTTTATTTTTTGATACCAGGGATTGAACTCATGACCTCATGCTTACCAGGCAGATACTTAGGCTACTGAGCTAAATCTCCAGCCCTCTGTTTATAGTTTAAACCACATAGAAATAGATGTTCTCTTCTTTTCTTCTTTCATCTTGGTGACTATTTCCAGAGAGACTAGTAGGTAGATTCTGAGCGCAGGACACATGACCTAACTATGACCACTCATGAGTTTATCACCAAAACCACACTGTTTTCAGGACCACTTCAAAGCTGTTTCTTTTAAGAAAGAAACTTTTGGGCTGGGGACTTAGCTCAGTGGCTTAAGTGCCTGCCTGGCAAGTGTGAGGTTGTGAGTTCGATCCCCAGTACCAAGAAAAACAAAAAAAACTTTTTTGAACCACGACTTGCTCTATAAGCAAGGCTGGCCTTGAACTCACTGTGTAGCCCAGGTTGGCCTCAAAATCATGGCAATCTTCTTGCCTCAACCTCTGAAGTGCTGAGATTACAAGCATGCAGTGAACTTTAAGGAAATTATTTGTACACTGGGCTGGCAGATTCCCTGGAAACACTGTAGGGTCCTGACCCTCCCCTTTGGATTCAGCAGCCTTGGCTTCTCTTCTGGCAGTGGCTGTATGGAGACTGTCCCCACATTCTCAGAATCTTGGTGGCAATGAGGGATAGAGGAAAGGTCAACTTCTTTGCAAGTGACTCTGCTTCTGGGCGTCACATGTGAATGTATCCCTTTTCACTTTGTTTTGGTCTAAGTGCCCTCCTGGCCTCCTTGGGGGTGGTGCCAGGTGTTGGCTGCATTTGAGGTGATGGTGGTCTTGTTTGTGCTCAGCTAGCTGGGCAGTGTGAGCTGTTATCCACCCTTTAAGCTTCCTGACGGACCTGGGACAAAACAAAGGAGGAGTGAAAACCGGCCTCTCCTTTCTTTCTCTCTGTGTCACTGTAGCAAAATACCTGAGGCCATCTTTATAAGAAGGAACAGTTCACAGCTTTGGAGGTTTCAGCCCGTGACCAGTTGGGACTTTGCTTAGGCAGTGCATCAAAGAGCAAAACCTCTGGCATCATGGCCAGGAAGCAAGGAAAGGAAGGTGTCACAACCCAATCACACCACACAGAGGTACCAAGCCTCTAGTACAAGGCCTTTAGGGATCCTCAAGATCCAAACCACAGGAAGCTCCTCTCACAGGGACTTTGTCCTCAGATCCAAATGCTCCATACTTCTCACTGCCCATGGACAAGTTCTCCTCTCTTTCTGGTCCTCAGGGCATTTTGTATTTCTTGTTTGGTTTGGTTTTTTGAGACACAGTCTAACCAAGGTTTGCCTGATGATCCTCCTGCTTCAGCCTCCCCAGTGGTAGGATTACAGGTGTGCCCACTGATAGGTTCTGTAGCCTGGGGCTTAGCTATCTGTAATGTGACATCTGCCCAACTTAGTACCGGACCCAGAGAAACAATTTATCTCTCCAACAGTAACTTCTATGTTCTCCTAGTTCCAGAAATAAAACCTCTACTCCCTATTTGATCCGTCTCTGATCCCAAGCCTCTCTAATCCCAAGACTCTATAGCCACCCAAGCCTCTACCCTCAGCCCCCAGTAAATAGTTCTGTTTCCTGTTTTACACAGGCAGATATGCTCCTTCAAATCAGCAGTTGATATGTCATTTTGCCCACCACCCAAACTCCTCCCCCAGCCAAAACTGATAAAAGCAATCTCACTTCTTTGTTCTTGAGAGCTGCTCTACCCCTATGAAACTCTCCCAAGCCTGAATTAAAGGCCTCCTCCTTCTCTCTCTCTCTCTCTCTCTCTCTCTCTCTCTCTCTCTCCCTCTCTCTCATTTTCTCTGCACCGCTTCAGACTGAGTGCCAAAAATACTCAGTCACCCACACACCTGGCTGGGCCTCGGTTGTGGTCTCTAACTTGGAGAAGGGGAGGACAGAGGGATAATGAGGACTTATGGCAGGCAGGAGGGTGGAGAGGAAGGAAAAGGGTGTGAATGGGGAGCTGGAGATGGTAAGGAGGTGCTGCAGCTGCTGGGTCTCCACCTTCTCAGGTGCAGAGTGCTGTGTCTTCTTTTCATGAAGCTCTGATCCTACCCCAGGGGCTCCTGGCCCTGAGAACATCCCTGGAAGATAGTAACACTTTCTTCCCCATCTTGCAGTTGGGGAAATTGAGGCTTAGAGAGGAAATGGGATGTTCCCACAATGCAGAGCTGGGCAGTGAGTGCTGAATCGGGCTCTGTCCCCTGCTGCCTGTCACAGCCAAGAGGCAATGACCCACAGTGTGTTCCTACCTACAACCTCACAGGAGCCCCAGAACCTTTGTAAGCTGTATTGGTCCCTGATTTTTGTTTATTGTCTTCTTAGTTATTTTTCTTGTTGTTGAGACAAAACACTCAACATTCAGAGTTAAGGGACGAAAGGTTTATTTAGCTCACAGTTTGTAGGGGTTGGCTGCCCAAGGCAGGGCAGCATGGCAGAGGACATCACAGAGGAGAAATAGTTCATGGCCAGCAGGCAGGAGGCAGTGAAGCAGTAGCACCAGCAGCCTGCCTTCTCTCTCTCCCTTTATATTCTTTTTTTTTTTTTTGTCTTTTTCATTTTTATCGGTACGGGGGATTGAACTCAGGACCGCCTGCTTGTAAGGCAGGTGCTTAAGCCGCTGAGCTAAATCCCCAGGTCCTTCTCCTTTTATATTCTACCAGGCTATAAACTTGTTGATTGGTGTCACCCACACCTGGGGGGAGGAGCCTTCCATTATCCACATCCAGAACTATGCTAATTCTAATCAGTGAACTAATTTTGTGTCACATACCCCTAATCCCAGCATTGCGGGCCCTAGATCCAGCCAGCTCTGAAAAGCCCCATCTATGAGCACATGAGGCTTTGGAGGGGACATCTAGACACAAACCCTAATAGTTGCATTTTTTTGTTTTGTTCTTTGGATGCAGGGGATGGAACCTAGGGTGTTGCTGGTACTCAGCAAGTGCTCCTCATGGAGCTGCACCCCAGCCCCAAACCCTGTCCTACACACAAAGAAAGGGCTGTCCAGGAGGACAAAGGGCCCAGGAGGGTAGCACTGTCCAGAGTGGGCAATGAGGGTGCCCAAGCATGAATACCAGGAGGAGAATCGGCCTCAGGAACACCAGGGTGCTCACCTGATAGCGTTGCCCACAGTTGTGCTGAAGCTGTGAGCCATGTGCTGGGGCAAGACACAATGGGATGGTGAGCACTGTCCCTGCTGTGGGCCTCGTCAGAACCTTGACCTTGCTGTTCTAGTATAAACACACTAACCCCAGGCTGATTTAAACACCCAGCCCCTGTTTGGGGAGGATGTCAAGGGCCTGCCAGTAGTGTCCCAGGATAGGACTCTGCTGCTCTGGGCCTCTTCCAGTCTGGTTACTCCTGAGTTGCAGTCACTCGCCGAGTGGACAGATAGATCTCAAAGGCTTTAAGTAGAAGGGACATCAGGGTGCCAGGATGTCCAGGCTAGAAGGATCCAATTGTCTCTGCAGCTGGGGAACCAAGGTCCAGGCAGTCCACCTGTGGGGGCTGGATGCAGGCCTAATGTTTGGGACATAGCTATCACCTTCAAGGAGGAGGAGATGGGCTCTAGTGGACCATACATGGCTTATAGAAGAAGCCTTTGCTGAGAAGCAGAGTCCACCAGGCCAATTGCTCCTGTGAGCCTCTGTGGCTACCTCAGACCCGCTGAAACTCAGCTCACATCTGCTCACCCCACTCCTCCAACACTGCTGCCTGACCTGCAGAGCTAGACTGGTTCCCCTCCATATCCAGGCTATTTTATTTTATTTTTTGAGATAGTGTCTCACTGCATAGTTCAAGCTGGCCTTGAGCTCAATATGTAGCCCAAGCCGGCCTCAAACTCATAGTGATCCTCCTGTCTCAGCCTCCTATGCTAGGATTATAGGTATGTGCTACCATGCCGGACTCCTTTTTCTTATTTGTTTGTCAAATTTTTTATATGGTAAGGATACTAACTGAAGTGAAATTAATTACTTCTTCTTCCAGGGAATGCTATGGAGACGACGGCATTCCTGTCCCAGTCTCAAGACAGCAGTCACATCTACAGAGAAGCAGAAGGTCTGCCCTGTATTTTTACTGGTTCTGTTTCTGGGCAAAGCCTGGGAGGTGGGCACTTGTGTGGGATGGCACCCTCCTGAGCTCCAGGGCGCCACGTGAATTCGGGGCTTTTCCCAGGTATGCCACAGCTGTCCCTTGCTGAGAGGACCCTCAGGTGCTCTCTGTATTTCCAGGCACAAGGGCAGGGTTTCTGTGGCACTGAGGAAGGTCTTTCAAAAATGGGCGGGTCCTGCTGGGCCCAGGGCTGGAAGGGGTTAGAGCTCCTGGTCAGCTCCCAGTTCCTATCTGGAGGTCTCTAGGCTGGGCAGGGAGCTGCAAAGTACCTTTCTGGGCTCCATGTGCAGAGCTGTCCTAGCTGGGGGCTTCCTAGACAGCCTGGACCTCCTGGATCTCCCATGGACCACACAGACCCCTGCAGCACTGATGTCCTGGTGGGACAGGCGGGGACACTCACCCCTTGCTGTGTGCCTTCCAGACAGCGAGACAGAGCTCCAGCAGCAAGATGGGAAGTCTGGGCTGCTTTCCCAAGAGCTAAGTAAGAGAGATGCGTCTTCCTCCTCCTCTTCCTCCTCTTCATCCTCCTCTTCGTCCTCTTCTTCGTCCTCCTCCTCTTCCTCTTCTTCATCAGGTAAACACAGACCTTCAGGGCTGGGGTTGGTTTAATGGCAGAACACTGGCTGAGTGTGCATAGGCCCCAGGCTTCTTCTCCAACATCCACAGCAAAACCTAACCTTAAAATACAGTGTATGTGTGTGTGCACATGTGTATGTGTAGAAATTGTATTCAAGAAAGGCACTTTACCCACTGGGCAGGGTGGTGCATGCCCGTCATCTCAGCCACAGAGAGGCTGAGAAGGAAGACCCTCAGGTTTAAGGCCAGCCTGGGTTACATACTGAGTTTAAGGCCAGTATGACCTTGACGCCAAAAAAAAGAGGATCACAGTCTTTTACACTTGAAGAGATGTACCTGATATATCAGCACTGTTCCCCCTCTTTTCCTCTACACCTAGCCACCTCTGTTTGTTCTTGGGCACAGCTGTGCTGTAATGGAGTAGACATTTTTTTTTTTTTTTTTTTTTGGAGACAGGGTCTTGCTATGTAGCCCAGGTTAGCCTCAAACTCAAAGTAATCCTTATCCTAGCCTCCCAAGTGCTGGGGTGACAGGTGTGTGCCACCACACCCAGGTACAGCTAATCTTGTTCCTTGAACAGACCCTGGAGGTGGCTACACCTTGTGTGGAGCACTGTGTAGAGGTGTTGGGGGCACTCAGTGCTGAAGTCTCCATCATGGGCTCACAACCTGTCTGTGCCCCTAACCAGCTGTGGGTCCTTGGGTAAAGGATGAGCCCGGTAGCCCCTGCCCCTGTGCCTCAAAAATGAAGTTAGCAGTAGTAACTCAGGATTACAGTGAGGGCTAAATTCTTCACATGAGGAGGGGCTAGTGTGTAGCTCAGTGGTAGAGCTCTTTTTTTTTTTGGTACCGGGGATCAAACTCATGACCTCATGCTTGCCAGGCAGGCACTTATGCCACTGAGCTAAATCCCCACCCCTATATAAATCTCTTGCCTTTTAGAAAACATTGATGCTCTTGCCTAGTGTGCTTTAAGCCCTGTTCCATCCTTGACACTGCAAAATCTTTTTTTTTTTTTTTTATTGAGACAGGGTCTCACTATGCGATTTAGCCTTGCCTTGGGCTCACTTTGTAGCCCAGGCTGGTCTCAAACTTGCAACAATCTTCCTGCCTCAGCCTCCTGAGTGCTGGGATTACTGAAGTGCACCGCAGTGCCTAGCTAGCACTGCAAAAAAAAAAAAAATTTTTTTTTTTTTGTCTTTTTTGAGACAGGGTCTCGCTATGCAGTTCAGACTAGCCTTGAACTCACTTTGTAGCCTAGGCTGATCTTGAACTCGTAACCATCCTCCTGCCTCAGCCTCCCAAGTGCTAGAATTACAGGCATGAGCCACCACTCCCGGTTGCAAAATGTTTTCTTTTTTTTTTTTTAACCTTATTCTAGGAATGGAGCCCAGGGCCTTCTCACTTAGCTACATCCCTAGCCCTTTTCTTTATTGTTTATTTTGAGATAGGTCTCAGTAAGTCACTAAATTGCTGGGCTGGCTTCAAATTGGCAACCCTCCTGGCTCAGCCCCCCAGAGTGCTGGACTTCCAAGTGAGCACTACTAGCTATGAAAAATCTTTATCCAAATAAAGTCTCAGCACCTAGCACTAACTCATTGAAGCTCATAAAGCTCTAGCTCATTAAACCCTCCCTGCTTCCTGGGTTTATCATGTACCTACCATCTTCCTCCAAAAGTTTTACTTTGTGTGTAGTGGGGCAGGGGGGTTGTTTCGTTTTGTTTTGAAAAATCACATCTCAATACAGATCATCACAGTGGCTCTGTGGCTTTAGCAGAATAAAAGGCATCTCCAGTGGGGTCTTGTTTATACCTTACCACCTTAATATCCACCAGGAGTTAACAATCTTGTTTTACTTTCCCTCTTCCAATTTGAAAGGCAAGACTCAATTTATAGCAGCACAACAATGTAGCATTTACTGAGTGAGGCAGGAGAGGGACTCACTGCAAGAGGTCTCAGCAAGACTTCCCGGCCACTTGGAGCAGAGACTCTCCCCTCCTCTACTCTCTGGGCCTGCCCTGTGGCCTGTTGTCTGCCCTGGGCTAGGCAGAGATTTGAGGTTTTGTTTACTGGGACGACTCAAGCACCTGTAATCCCAGCGTTTGGAAGACTGAGGCAGGTGGATAGCTATGAGTTCAAAGTCAGCCTGGGCTCCATAGTGTGTTCAAGGCCTGCCTGGGCTACGTAGTGAAATTGTGTCTCAAAAAACAAACAACAAACAAACAAAATAAGTAATCCAGAGATGGCTTAAGTATGTGGGGGGCTGTGTAGATTCTCTACAGGTAGAGCACCATTCTAAGGGATGGGGGCCTCCATAGCTCCTAGACCCAGTCCCCACTCAGCTACTGGGGATACTTGTGCTCAAGACACTTCTCCTTCTGCATTCAGTCGAGACTAAGGGTGTGCTGGTCTTTTAAACACAGTTGACTTGGCTTCTTGGAATTCTTCAGGATACCTGTGATTGGCCAGAGGTCTCCACCTGCCTATCGAGCCTGAGCTCTGCCACACTGAGACCTTCTCAGAGCCCTGGGGGTAGGGAGCCACCTCTCCCACCTGCCCTGGGCCTGCGTTCTCCTCAACCCCAGATGTCCCTGTGTGCAGGTGACCTGCATCTTTTAGGTCCCAATGATTCAACTCACTGCCTGCTCCAGGCTAGCCGGGCTGTGACCTCAGGAGCACCTGTCTGGAGGTAGGGCAGGGGGCACAGGGAGTACTCAGAACACAGGACGAGCTGCAGAGAGGACACTGCTTACACTCTGGGGACATAAACCATCCCCATCATCTAGTGCTCTGCGGCCCTGGTCTCGTCCTCATGGACACCCCAGGTCATGAGTGCAGTGGCAAAGGAAGCACAGGGTAGACCGAGAGCAGACAGAACGAGGAAGTGGTGTGGAGGGTCAGAGGCAGGGCCCCATCCCCTGGCACAGTGCCTTCCTCAGGGGCAAGGTCCCAGTTTGTGTCTGTCTCCACAGACAGCAGCGATGAGGATCAGCACCCCAGAGTTCCTGGAAAGCGTGGACAGAGCCTGGGCACAGGACACCACCGCAGGAGCAGCCCATGTGGTACACAGAGGCTGTCCCAGGGGTCACAGTGGGGCTCCTGAGCTGTCTAAGTGACGATGTCACTCCCCACAGTGTAGATAGATAAACAGTGCCGCACCTGTCCAGTCACAGCTCTGCCCTCCATCTGCCTCTGATGGGAAAAAGAAAACTGTTTCCAAGTGTGATGGAGCACACCTGTAATCCCAGCACTAAAGAGGCTGAGGCAGGAGGATTACTGAGAGTTCAAGGCCAGCCTGGGCTACAAAGAGAGACTGCAGAAAACTGTATCAAATTGTAGAGTTCATTCGACCTCATATATACTTTGGAAAAATGCATACTTATATGGTTCCAAACAAGACTGGAAGGAAAAATGTCAAAATGTTAATAGTGGTTATCTCTGGTTGATGACATTTCTAGAATGTTTGTTGTAGGGCAGCTCCATGGTAGAGATATGCCTGGCAGGTGCAGGCCTTGGATTCCACCCTAACACTGTGAAAAGAATGGAGGAAAGGAAAGAAAAAAGAGAAGGAAAGGAGGATAGATTAGATATTCAGGTTTTATAACAGACCCAGCTGAGTTGCTGCTTACTGGTTATGTGAGTTTGGGAAAATAATTTAACCTATTTTTCCCTTCCTCCTTCTTTTCGCTGCTGCTGGAAATCAAGCCTAGAGCTTTGTGCATGCTGGGCAAGTGCTATACCCTTCAGCTATACTCAGCTCTATTTACAGTTTTGAGCCTCAGTTTATCTGTCTACCAAGTGGAGTTGTGCTCAGATTTTCTTCATGGGGTTTCCATGTGGCTAATGGGAAACAGTAAATATGAATTACTCACATACTGAGGAACACGCTAGGTGCTCAGTCAGTGACACTGGCTACTGCTGGGTCCTCTCAGGCATCCAGTTCTTTCTTCATCACCTGGGTGCTGTCTCCTTGGGAGGGACCAAGCGGGGTGGGACAGTGAAAGGGAAGGCCTCTCCAGGCTGCCAGGCCCCCGCAGACCCAGGCCTGTGACTGCCCAGCTCAGCTCCGTGGAGGTGGGCACAGTGGGGACATCACCATGGGCCACTCACCAGAGAGTTTGTCTCCCCAGGGGCTGAGTACAGGGTAGCCTGTATGACGAAGGATGCATTACAGCTCTACAGAGGTAACGAGTTTTCCGCTGGCTTGGGAGGACATGGAGCTGGGGGACTGTGGGGGGAGACAGTGATGGCTTCAGGGCCTCCTCCTGGCTGGAGTTGTGACTTCGACTTGTGGGGTGACCTGGAAGAGGCATTCACTTTTATTTTTGGTACTGAGCATTGAACTCAGGACCTTGCACTTGCCAGGCAGATGCTGTACCATTGAGCAATATCCCCTCCCTCATCCATTTTCTTGACTGCTGCATCTGGTCAGCAAAATGAGCGTGGTCAGGACGCTTCTTGGGACCCTGGGCTGTTTAAGAGTGTTGGACTCCTAGCCACTGAAGCGAGAAGGTCCAGACAACATGGTTTTGCAGCTGGGAGCCCTGCAATGGAATGAACCAGCTTGCCAGGAACCTGGCACAAGAAAACCAGCAGGAAACATTTAGGTAGCTCTCAGAGAAAAAACATAGCATGCCTGGCATCCTGGGTGTGACCTGAGGCTGCCAATCAGAACAGCATTGAGAACTATCTTTGCATGCTCATCACTTTACTACAGATGCTGCTTTTTGACACAGAAAGCGTTACCCTGCTCAGCATCCTGGGCAGCATCCCAGCACCAAGCCAAACAAAAAACAGGAAATGTTTTTCATTTCTCAAATAGTTTAAGAGAGGGTTCACTGGGTATAAAATAAGAGAAGCTGTTATGTTTCTGTGTAATGTAAAATATTTTTCTCATAAAAGTAATTTATATTCACTGTAGAAAATGTAAATACAGTCACCTATTTGGGTTTGGGTTTTTTGGTTTTTTTTTTTTTTTTTTTTGGGGTGTTGTTTTTTCAGTACTGGGGATTGAGCCCAGCACCTTCACGCTGAGTTATATACCCAACCCTTTCTATTCCTCTATTTTTCATTTTGAAACAGGTCTCACTAAGTTGCTAAATTGCCCAGGGTGGACTAGAACTTGCAATCCTCCTGCCTCAGCATCCCAGATTGCTGGCTTGTCACTTATTTGTGAATTATGTGCTCTTCCCAATGACATCCTAGAGGCTCCTACACTTCCTGCCTTCTCTGCTCGCTCAGTTCTGGCGCTTCTGTCACTTTGCAAGCGGCCCTGGGACGGCTCCAGGTCGCGCTGAGCGCCCCCTTGTGGTCCGGAAAGGCGGACCGGACGGGGGTGGGGTCTGGGCGGGGAGGATGACAGGAGCCCGCCCACCGTGAGAGGCGGAGCGGCTGACTAGGAGAGAGATCCCGGGCACTGGACCCACACCACGGCGGGAGGCCCTGTCACCAGTCTGGCCCTACCCTGCTCCCGCCCGTGACGTGACGGCTTCCCGGGCGCTGCGCGGCGGCCTGCGCGTGCACAGGGGCGCCTACTCTGCAGCAGGTTGCGGAGCTGTTGCTGTGGGTTTTCCGTTCCTACTGTTTGGGCGGCAGCTCAGGGACAGAGTCGGACCTAGAGCATCCTTGAAGTCCTAGGTACAAGTCCCATAAGCATCAGAAGAAAAAAAAAGTTTTTAATATAGTTTATCTGTTCTACAGTTCACAGCTTTTCAGCCTGAACACTTTTCAATTCAGGGTGCCACTTCCAGCGTTGGCCAGGGTTTTCCCTACACGTTAGCTCATGAAACAGTGTCCCATCTGAGCTATGCAATGTCTTCAATGAGTGGGGTGTGGGAGGTCTTTGGCATCCTTGAGTTGTGCACTCAGGAGTTCAACATAGGGTCAAAAATGAAAAAAAAAAAAAAGCCAGTATGGTGGCTGCAGGTGTCATCCCAACACTCTGAGGTCGGAGGATTGCAAGTATTCCAGCCCAGCCAAGCAGTTTAGCAACTTAGCAAGTTCTAAAATTAACAAAAAGGTGTTTGTGTGAGGATATAGGCCCTGGGTTCAATCCTCACTATCAAAACAAAAACAAAAACAAAAATCCCTGAGCATATGCAAACTTTTACAGTATAACAATATTACATCACGCTGACCTTGTATTAGATATTATTCATCTTCTGGAGATAGTTGAAAGTATAGAAGATATGCACAGGGCACATGCAAATAATCACTCAACTCACGATGTAAGGGCTTGAACATCCCCACATTTGGGTGTCTGGGGTCCCAGAAGCAATTCCTGGTGAATGTGTAAAGTGACTATATAAGGGCTGCCAGCCTTCTATAAAATGCGGAAATTTAAGCTCAGTGTGGTGGGACATATCTGTAATCCCAGCACTCAGGAGGCCGAGGCAGGATGATTGCCACAAGTTTAGTTACATAATGAGTTCAAAGACAGCCTGAGCCACATAGTGAGATCTTGCTTCATAAAACCAAAACCAACTAACAAATAAATAAACAAAATGGGAAGTTTATGATAATCTTGGTTTCTTCCGGAAAGGGAAGACCTATAAAGCCCAGCAGATGAGCCTGCAGCAGCTTTGGATGGCTGGCAGGTGGTGGCTCCTCCTGTAGCCACCTGCCCCACCTCCCATTCCCACCCAGCCCACACCAGACCAGGTGCAAGTCCCTGCCAGGGTCTGCATCCACTCTGTGCCTCCTGTTCTCCTGAGGAGACATGCCTATGTGACCTTTGGTTTCCTTCCCTGCAGATGACTCGGGAGAGGTGGTGCCATCTGAGGAAACAGGTGAGTGACCAGGCTGGGGCCAGGAATTGTCAATTTAGATGACCCACCAGCCAGCCCTGGCAGAGGCACCACTGTGATGGTAAACTCCAGGGACACTAGGCATCCCCCACCTGGCTCCAGGTGGACAGGCTAGGTTGTGGAGGGAGGTAGGCAGGGAGAGGGTAGGGGGACAACAGTGGCCCATCAGATTGTCCCTGGGGATGTTTACTTAGGTCACCTGTGGCTTCCCTAGGGCAGAGGGATATTTTCATGCTGACTGGACACTGACACTGAGTTTCTGTTTCCAGGACTCCGACAGAGAGGCGTGGGCCCCACAGAAGGTAGAAGTGGATGCGGAAAGCAGGGCTGCTTGGGTCCTGGGGGTGTAAGGGGACCACAGGGCATGAGAGAATGGGTCCATCCCGGCAGGGATGCTGAACCAGCCAGCATGACTGACATGGGATGGGACAGAGTGGGTTCAGTGGACTCTGAGGACAGGGCCAGTGCAGTGAGCATCCCAATCCTTAAAGGCTCCAGGCCTTCATGGGGTAAGGACAAGAACCTCCCACCTATTGTCCTGCTTTTGTTTTTCTGGGGTTTTTGTGTTTTGTTTGTTTGTTTGTTTTTGAGACAGGCTGGCCTTGAATTCACTGTGTAACCCAAGCTGGCTTTGCATTCACAGTGATCTATCTTCCTGCCTCAGCCTTCTGAGTGCTGGGATTGCAAACAGACACCTCTGTACCTTGACAGATATTTGTTTGTTTGTTTCTGTGCTTGTTGCCTGTGTCTGTATCTAAGCGAAGCTTTGTATCTCACTTGTTCCCAAGGAGCTGTGGAAGACTCACAGTTAAGCAGACTGAACATAAAGAAGGACGGTAAGAAACATGTCCAGAGCCACATCACGTGGCCATCCACACTGCTGAGGTTCAAGACAGCAGTGGCCTAAAACAATTGTCATGGCACTCTGCTCTGAACCTGCAAGAAGATAGAGTGTTGATGCCTACTTTCAGATGTGGAAACTGAGGCTCAAGATGGCTGGCAGTATGGTCTCACCATTAGTGAGCAGCTGGTATAATCTGGCCTCCCAAACCTGGTCTGAGCAGCTGGCATGATCTGGTCTCTCAAACCTGATCTGGGGCTCTTTTGGTACTGTGTGAAGTCACTGGGATGCCAGTGCCTCCCAGGTCCTAAGACCAGGATGGGAGCTGGATGTGGGACGGGGGGGGGGGGGGGAGCCTTGAGGAGGGAATGGGGCCAGACTCTGAGAAGAAGGGAACAGGACGGGAGACTGCAGTGGTGGGTTATGGGAGGTGGGGGCTTAGGCTCAGTTTGTGTGCAAGGTGCTGGAGAGGAGCCCAGGTCTCCCATGTGTCAGGTGAGCATTCACCCTGGGGCTGCACCTCAGCCAAGACCCCAGCTTGGTGGAGGACCCCTGTTGCTCACAGAGCACTGTGCTGTGCAGCCCCAGTGGCCCTCATCGCCCTGCATGAAGGCACCAAGGCTCAGAGAGGTCTGGAAGTGACAGGAGGCCTCACAGCAGGGAGTAGCTATGATGGGTGTCCCTGAGGCCTTGGCACCCCCTTGTGCCTCTGCCTAGTTGCACATAGCCTTCTCCAGGTTGTCCTGACTTTTTTCTCTCTGCTGGGTTTTGTTCTTGTGCTGGGGATGGGCCTCATGCATGCTAGGCAGTGCTCATCCACTGAGCCACATTCACAGCCCCTTCTTTCTTTGAAAAATGTTTGCACATGCATGGTGGCTCATGCCTAAAATCCCAGCATTCTGGAAGACTGAGGCAGGAGGACTGGAAGTTTGAACCCACCTTGGGCAGCTCAGAGACTTGGCAAGACGGTGTCACAAAATAAAAACTAACAGGGCCGGGGATGGAACTCAGTCTGAGGACCTTGGTTTCAATCTCCTGTACCACCAAGTACATTTTCAATCCCCTGTACCACCAAGTAAATATACATGCAGCCTCTGAAAGTTCTTTGTCAAGGCTAGAAGACAGCAGGAGAGTTGTGCTCCCTCCATAGTGGCTCCCACATGCCTGGCAAAGTGCAAGGGCTTCTGCTCTATCACAAGCACCCTGGGATCCTGTGCCTATGCCCCACCTCTTAGCACCCCCACACCTCTGGGATCTTAGCAACTTCTTCCGGGCCAACCTGCATTTCTTTTTTTCTTTGTTTTGAGATAGGGTCTCACTATGCAGTTTAGGCTGGCCTTGAGCTCACTTTGTAGCCCAAGCTCAACTCGAAGTTGCAATGATCCTCCTGCCTCAGCCTCCCAAGTGCTAGGATTCCAGGCATGTGCCACCACACCTGGCTCCAACCTGCATTTCTGATCATTATTGTAACTATCAACAAAGTATTGAGCACCTGTGCCTGCTGGGGCTGCCCTTCATGCTGGAGGACATTGGGAAGGAGGTTCACTAAGCTCCTGTCCACCATAGAGCTGTCCAGAGCCACGTCAGGTGGAAGGCAGATGAGAACACAAAACCACAACATAAATGGGATGGCAATGTGTGCAATAGAAATTAAACAAGGAGATAAGAGCCAGAAAGGCATTTTATTATTTATGTTTGGTTGTTTGAGACCAGGTCTCTCTATGGCTGGCTTTGAACTCACTGTGTATCCCAGGCTGGCTTTCAACTCATGGTGGTCCTCTTGCCTCACCTCCCGAGTGCCAAGATGACAAATGTACACAACCAACCCCCAACAAGTTTTAGTTTGGCTGGTCAGGAGCAGGAGCAGGTCTCTGAATGTTTCCATTTGAGCAGAGGCTTTGTCATTGACAAACAAGAAAACTGCCCATAGTCCCAGCCAGTGGGGAGGCCAACGCAGGAAGAGCCAGCCATTGAGCCCAAGATTTTGAAGCCAGCGAGACTTTGTCTCAAAAGAACACAAAAAACAAGAGCGTTCTTGGATGTGGAGAGGGTTCTTGGGCAGCATGGCAAGGCCTTGAGGTCCAGCCCCTGCACATGCACACACCGCATATACTGAGAGCCAGGAAGGGAAGGGACGAATAGTAACGCTCTGCCTCCGCCTTGGCAGACGAGTTCTTCCACTTCGTGCTGCTGTGCTTTGGCATCGGAGCCCTGCTAGTGAGCTACCACTACTACGCAGGTGAGGCATCTCTACTAGCAGTGAAGGGGAGGGGAGGGGTGGGGCGCTGAGGGAGAGGCGGGGCTTGGAGGGGCAAGCAAGCGTCAGGCGGGTACTGGGGGGCCGAGGGGCGGGCACTCTAGTGGGAGGGGCGGGGCGGGGGCGGGGCCACCCTGCACTGAGCCCTCCCTCTGCCCGCAGATTGGTTCATGTCCCTGGGCGTCGGCCTGCTCACCTTCGCCTCGCTCGAGACCGTGGGCATCTACTTTGGGCTGGGTGAGTCCTGTCGCCCCCACAGCTCTTGTTTTACATTTCCTGTTCCCGTGTTTTCTTCCTGGCCGCTTGCAAGGTCAGGGTGCCGTCACACTGGCAGAACCTGCGGGTGGAAAACTATGGGCATTTCCCTAAAAATCAAGTAGCAACAGTTAAATGTGAACAACATGGATTTTGAAGCCAGCGAGACTTTGCAACATGGTTCCCAAACCAGGCGATGGAGCCGAGACTGAGGCTCAGGCCTCTTCTGTTTTCGTAGTCCTAACCTCGGCTCCATCCCCTGAGCGCAGCCCCGCAGCCCAACCATGGAGCCGAGCTGTGTAGTCTGGGCCCTCGCCCAGCGTGGCCATGAGTGGAGGGGACACAAGCTGACTTGGCCTCCTTTGTTCTCGCAGTGTACCGGATCCACAGCGTGCTGCGCGGCTTCCTCCCACTCTTCCAGAAGATCAGGCAATTGGGTAACTTTCCGAGCTTCCTGTGCTCCCACTGCCAAGCAGGGGTTTTGGAGATGGGGGATTGACGTGGTCTCAGTATGTCGCCCAGGTTGGCCCCCTGAGTGCTGGAATTATAGGCATGTGTGCTTCCCTTCCCCACTTCCGTTTTTTTGTTGTTGTTTAGTTTAGTTTAGTTTAGTTTTGTTTTGTTTGAGACAGGGTCTTGTTATGCATTTCAAGCTGGCCTTGCGCACACTTTGTAGCCCAGGCTGGTCTTGAACTCACAACAATCCTCCCGCCTCAGCCTCCTGAGTGCTGCAATTACAGGTGTGCATCACTATGCTGGCCCCCTGCTTGTTTTGAAAGAGGTTTAACATGTAGGAAAGTTCTTAGAGGCAAGAGGATGCTTCAGTTTGGACTTTCCATCTATCATCTTAAGAGTTTATGAGCTTTGTGACTCTGGAAGGGCTTGTGGCTGTTTTGTTTTGTTTTGTTTTGTTTTCATTTTGCAGTGCTGGTTGGAAACTCAGCCCTCATAGCCTCTCTGAGCCTCCTGTTTTGTGCCCAGGATAATGGGTATGGTCATTCCTAGTACACAGAGCATTTGCTGGCCTAGTGAGGACTCGAGGAGTGGGAGGGCTTGTGTTCCAAACACCATGGAAAGTGAAGGCACATGGCTCAGTGACTCACAGAGGGCTCCCTTCCCTAACACAGTCTCCCCCTTGGCAGTGTTTGCCTGATGACTCTGGTGGGGAGGCCTTAGTAGTTCTGTTTCCCTGGTGAGGACGATGAAGATCAGAGAGTCGTAGTGACTTTCCTGGGTCACACAGCTAAATTGACTGGCCTGGGCTGGGGTAGATTCTCTTTCAGCTGCGAGTGCAAGGCGCATGCCTGCGTACCTTAGTGAGACCCTGTCTCAAAATAGAATGTGAAAAAGATTGTAGATGTGGCTGAGTGGTACAGTACCTGGTAGAGGAGAAAGGAGCTCCTCCTTGCTGAGCAGCAGCTCCTGTTCACCCATGTGACTCAGATCAGAGAAGCTAGGGGGCTATGGCTCTGTGCTGCAGAAGCGTTTGTCTCCTTTAATTAACGAAGGAGGCATTCATTACTGTAGCTGTGGGTTGTGGAGATTCATAGTAGCTGCAGGAATGAGCCTGCCCTTCCCATTCTGTGAGCTCTGGGTGTCTGGGGTATTGGTGGGGATGCTCTGGCTGCCTTCAACCCTCTATCCTGCACTTTGCCTTCCAGGATTCAGGAGGACGGACTGAGGCCTCTGCTGGGTGGCAGCTGCAATGGCTTGAGTTTAACCACTGCCTCCTTGAGGCCACAAGGACAGTGACATTTGGGTAACAGGCAGGAGACCGAGCCACACAATAAAGAGTACTCTTTTGCCTTCATGTGGTGTGACTATTGGCAGTGACTGGACAGGGCAGTACCATCTGGCAGTGCAGAATTGAGGTCCTGCTGTTGAGATGGAGGCATGTAGGACTGGTCCTGTGCACCTGGAGCAGCAGGAATGGTTGAGGCTGCTGCCACCACCAGGGCCTGGAACTGAGATCTCTCTAGGCTCTTGGCTTCTTCCAAAACCTCATACTGAGTCATAGTGTGACAGACAGACCACTGCTCTGATGCAGGTACCACATGCGGGGTCCCCAAAGTGCACCTGCAAATAAGATATTGAACACTAAAGCCATAGCATTTGGGATCCTTCCCACAGCCCTTCCAGCCAGCGACAAACCTATTGCCTAGGACTTCATCAAGATGCAAGTAAACATTCTCTCTCCAAATCTGAAAAGTCAACTACACATTCCTTTAGTTTCCTTGAACCTGAAGACACAGTTGGGATCTTTGAACCACCAAGGAGGGCGGGCACTTATCCTACTGAATAAAGTGTTACATGTGGATAAAGCCTCAGTGCCTTACTTTAGTCTAAGACTTCACTCACAAGGATAGGATAGGAGGAAAGGATTTGTGAACATGCTTGTGAAAAGGATGTGGAATATGAGTACTCTCAGTTCAACAAACATCAAAGGATTGAGATAAGATGTGGGAGTTGGCTTTTGGTTGCTGAGACAAAATACCTGACATCCGCAATTTAAAGGAGAGATTTATCTGGGCTCATGGTTTCAGAAGGGTCAGTCCACACCCAGCTGGCTACAAGGCAGAAACAGGCGAGGAAGCAGGGATGCAGGGAAAGACCCAGAGAAAAGAAACACCCTTTGAAGTCATGTGACCTGCTTTCTTCAGCTGGGCCCCACCTCCTATCCACCTATCCATCTATTGGCACATCAATGAATTGATCCTTTGATGAGATTAGAGCCCTCGGAGCTGTGAGTTTGAGGCCAATCTGGACTACATAGTTCAAGATCAGTCTGAACTACCTAATGAGACCTTGTCTCAAAAAATAAAAGCTAGGCATGGTGGCACACACCTGTAACCCCAGTACTCAGGAGGCTGAGGCAGGAGGATCATTGTGAGTACAAGACTAGCCTGGGCTGCAAAGTAAACTCAAGAGTAGCCTGAACTGCATAATGAGACTCTTATCTCATAAAAGGCAAAATAAATAAACAAATAAAAAGTATGATTCTGGGTATGTCTGTGGCTATATCTGGAAGTGGTCCACATACAGGCCAACAAACTGAGGAGGAAGACCCACCCCCCCCATGGGTGGCACCAACCAATAGACTTGTTGTTTACATGGAATCAAAGGAAAGAAGGAAGAAATTGGCAAATATGTGAAGAGCTCCAACCTGCCTGAGCGGTACATCTTCTTCTGCTTTCTTCAGCTTCCAACCTGGACTCACTCACACCTGCAACCTTCTGGGGAACTTTCAGGCCTTTGACCTTGGGCAGGTGCTGCATTCTCGACTCCTTTGTTCTGCTGCTGAGCAGCTACTGTTCTCTAGTGTACAGACAGCCATTGCATACTCTCCCACCTCTGACCCTGTAAGCTACCTAATAAATTCCTTTGGGTAATTATACACATATTTTCTGTTGATTCTCTTCCTCTAGAGAACCCTGACCAGTACACTATTTATCCAATCACCTTTCAGAAGTCCCATCTCTAACCACATGAGACCTTGGGAGAACATTTTATATCTAACACATAACATAAGGGCACAAAACAAAATCCATTGCCTATTTGGGTTCTATTGATAGAGGTATGCAGTCTGGAGTGGAGATGGTAATAATAGGTCCTACCTTACATTGGCCAGGTCATGCCAAGAGCATGTGTTTAGTTCTAGTCTTACACAACAAGGGCAACAATGACTAACTAGGGAACACAGAGGAAGGGGCCAGAGTGGGAATATAAAGAGTGGCTGGAGAAATGAGAACTCTTGAAGCTGTGAAAAAGTGGGGGTTTCTGCTGAGCTCACAGATTCTGTGTGGCACTTTCTCGGGTTCTAATGGTGTTCTACACAAGCACGTAGGTCAGTCGGTTTCATTCTCACACATCCCTGAGGTGGATGAATGCTCTCACTTTGCAGATGGAGAAACAGAGGCCCAAGAGGTTTGGTGACCTACCTAAGTCTGTTGGGCAGGCCACTTGGGGGGGGGGGTACTGGGGATGGAACCCAGAACCTTCATACTGAACTACATCCCTAGCCCTTTCTGAACTATATTTTTTTAAAACAATGTAAGTCACTAAACTGCCCAGAGTGGAGTCAAGTTTGTATTCCTCCTGCCTCAGCCTCAGAAAGTGCTGAGATTCCAGATATGGTCATCATATCTGGCTGGAGGTGAACTCTTGGTGATCATGGCCAAACAACCTTGGTCCTTGTTCTCAGAATGGCCCTGGGGTCATCAGACTTGGAAAGCAAGCAAGAGGACCCTAGAAGCTGGCCCCTGCTGGACCAGTGTCTCCAAGGAGCCGAAGGAGTCTGGTTTCGTGAACATAGGATCAATGACGTCAGATCATCTCTGTCAACAGAAACCTCAAACCCAGAGGTTTAAAAATGTGGCCAATTGGGGCTGAGGATTTAGCTCAGCGGCATAAGCATCTGTCTTGCAAGCCTGTGGTCGTGAGTTCAGTCCCTGGTATCGGTAAAAATACAAAAACAACAACAACAAAAAAATGTGGCCAATTAGGGCCAGGGTTTAGCTCAGCAGCATAAGTGCCTGCTTGGCAAACATGAGGTTGTGAGTTTGAATCCTGGTACCAAAAATAAATGTTGCCAATTAGTTTTTTCTAATTCTCCAAAGGAAAATATGATGTTTACTCAAATATTAAAATGAATTACTGGGGCTGGGGATTTAGCTCAGCGGCATAAGCACCTGCCTTTCAAGCAGGTGGTCATGAGTTCGATCCCCGGTACTGATAAAAATGAAAAAGACAAAAAAAATCATAAAATGAATTACTGTATGATCTAGAAATTGCACTTCTAGGCCTGTACTTCAGGAATTTTAAGATACTTGGATATCCCTGTTCACAGCAAAAGTCATTCTCAAGAGCCAAAAGGCAGAAACAGCTGCGTGTAGTGCTGCATATAGAACCCAGAACTCAGTTGACTGAAGCAGGAGGATCACTGAAAGTTTGTCCTAACATGTACAACATAATGCACACAGTATATGTGCACACACACACACACACACACATAACACAAATATTAGCCCTGAAAAGGAAAGTGGTTGAGACACAAGCTGCCATATGGGTGACCCCTGAGAACCTTATGTCAATGAAACAAGGCAGCCAAAAAAGACAAATACTGGATGATTCAGCTTATCTAGAGTTTCTACAGTAGTGGAATCCACGGAGAGAGTAAACAGAACAGTTGGCAGGAGCCTGGAGATAGGCAATGGGGATATCTATGCAACTGTGTGGCTGTGCTCAACACCACTGAGTTGTACAAACCAAAAAGTGGAAATTCTACACTCTGTTTTACTCTGATTGTTATATGATCTTATTTATTTATTAGTGCTGGGGATGGAATCCAGAGCCTCACAGATGGTAGGTGAGTGCTGCACTCCTGAGCTGTACCTAGCTGTGACTGCTTTTGTTTTGTTTTTGAGACAGGCTGGCCTTGAACTCTTAGCAATCCTTCTGCCTCAGAGTATCCTGAGTGCTGGTTTCACAGGCATGGGCTATCATGCCTAGCTCCTGACTTTTAAAATCTCGAGCACTGAGCAGATGTGGCCCACTGGATGTGGCCCACTGCTCTGTGTACCGTCTGGTTCCGTGGTGTGTGGCTGGTGGGCAGGGGCAGCCTGCTGCCTAGCCAGGACAGGAAGAACAGGAACCCATTTTGCCCATCCCACTTTTCAGTCTAAGGCAGCCTGGCTGTGTCACAGGGACATGGAACAGCCCCGGTTCTACCACTAATGACCTGAGTATCCACTGAAGAGCTCTAGTGCCTGGGAGGTCCCAGAGCTGGCCCTGCTGACCCTGGCCTTCCCCAGAAACTATCTTGCTTGGGTTTAGGGCCACTCTAGCAAAGGCTCTGGTTGCATTTCAGGCTCCAGTAGATCCTGGGAAGCTTTGTCTGTGCTGTCTAAAAATAGAGCTGGGGACCCAGCCCAGAAAGGAAGCTGGGGCTAGCTGGCAGTGCCTTCTCCCTGAGATGGACTCACTATGTAAGAATAGCTGTTCAAAGCTGGGGATGTATGATCACGGTCACAGTGATGACTGGCAACCCCGGAAGCCTCTGCAAAGAGACACAAATGAAGGAGAGCAGCCCTTGCTAGAAATCATGGTGGCAACTTTTTGTTTTTGTTTTGAGACAGTCTCACTATGTACTTCAGGCTGACCTTGATCTCACTATGTAACCCAGCCTGGCCTCAAACTAGCAGCAGTCCTCCTGCCTCAGCCTCCCAAGTGCCAGGATGACAGGAGTGAGCCACCACACTAGGCTGTTGAGCCATTCTGGAAAGTTGTTTGGCATTCTCTAGTAAAGTCAGAAATACATTGCTTTTCCTCAGCTGCTGCCAGTGTGCTTGGGATGAGGCCCTCATTTCATCTGGTGACAGCACAGTGCCCATAGTCCAAACACTGGCATATCTCTGAGCTCACTGTATCCAATGCACCTTCACTCTGTACAACAGCAAGGTGACCTCATGGAGGGTGAGATTAGTAGGCTTGTGAAAGCATCTGGCATCAAGGTTGAACCTTTGTGACCTGGCTTGTGTGCAAAGATCTTGGCCAGTGTTACATTAGGGGCCTCATTCACAGCAATCGGGCTGGTGAATCTTCCTCCTCCTGCTGCTGCCCTCTGGGAGGAGGAAGTGGATGCAAGCAAAGAAGAATCTGAGGAGTCTGATGATGACACAGACTTTTTGAAGTTCAATAAAAACTGAATTGCTAAAAAAGAAAGAAAAAAGGCACACATATTATTTGGCCCTGCGTTTGCATTCTTCGAACATTCGTAGTAGCACTGTTCAAAAGAACAGCTCACATGTCCTGGGAACAGCCCAGATATCCAAACATGGAATACTGGGTCAGCTGCAGTGTAAGCAGAATCTGAAATTCTATATAGTAATGAAAATAGAAAACAGCCTGCATGCATGGACCTCACAAACATGATACTGAGTAAAGTCAGAGGGCTTTATTTACATAAAGTTCTCTAACAGACAGACAAAGCCGTCCTTTGCATCCCTACAGGTAACAAGATGATAAAGGAAAGCAACAAGGGAAACAACAGTACAGAAAAGAGTGCAATCAAGTTGAGTGTGTTGTCACCCCTGTAATCCCAGAACTCTGGGAGACTGAGGCAGGAAGACTGCAAATTTAAGCCCCACCTGGACAACTCAGCGACTTGACAAGACCATGTCTCAAAAAATAAAATAAAATAAAATAAAATAGGCTGGAAATGCAGCTGGATGTGAGGACTGGGTTCAATCCCCAGAACTGGGGAAGGGAGTAGACAAAAGGGAGAGGAAGAGAGACGGGGGAAGGGAAAAAAGAGAAGAGCGAAAGAAGGAAGGAAGAAAAAAAAGAAGGAAAGCAAGCAAGTAGATCGGAGGGAAAGGAGGTACCAGGCGCCAAAGTAGTGTTATTACCGGGCATGGACGCGAGAGGGGGTGCTAACCAATGAGCCGGTGGGGGGCGGTGAAATGAGGTTTCCTAGCAACCGAGAAAACACTGAGGAGGAAGCTGGCGGTGCCTGAGCCAGGACTACTGGGTCCTGACCTTGCCCGGTGGCCAGCTGTTTTCTGGCACCTGCGACATTCTGAGCCTTCCATGAGGACCACGAGCTTTCCTCTCATCTGGAGCTGTGTCCTTCTCCAAATCGGATGAGGACACCCTCACGCCCTAAAGGAGGCCTCCGGACTTGTAGGGAGTGAGAGGTGGGGAGCAGGAGGAGGAGGTTGTGCCTTTAGCACTGTGAGAAGTTAGGTTACAAAAGCAAGGCTTTCAAGATTCAGGAATTAAGAAAGAAAAGAAAAGAAAAAATTTCAGGAGCTGGGCGTGGTGGTGAATATCTGTCATTCTGGCACACAGGAGGCTGAGGCAGGAGGGTCAATGTAAATTCAAAGCCAGTCTAGGCTACATAGTGAGTTCAAGCACAGCCTGAAATAGTAAAACTCTGTTTCAAAAAAAAGTCTCTAATTTGAGATTCAGGGTGCAAGTTTGAGCATGTTGGTAAATGCTCGTGATTCTAGCACTTGAGAGGCTGAGGCAGGAGGATAGCCACAAATTCAAGGCCATCTTGGATTACAATATGGGTTCCAGGGCAACCTGGAGTATACATCGTGACCTTGTCTCAAAAAAAAAAAAAAAAAAAACCCACATATTTAGGGTGCAGTGGAAATTTTGTAGATTGCCAATAACACAAGAGGTTTTATATTACATAAGAGTCACATAAACTCGGTCGGGGATTTAGCTCAGCGGCATAAGCACCTACTTGGCAAGCGCCAGGTCATGAGTTCAATCCCCGGTACCACAAAAAAAAAAAGAAAAAAAAAAAAAGAGGTAAGTTTAGCCAGGTGTAGTGGCTCACGCCTGTAATCCCAGGATCGTTGCAAATTTGAGACCAGCCTGGGCTACACAG